AGATCGATTGCCTCCAAGATGGACCGAAGACGGCCTGGCACGCTCACAAGAGTCCCTCGAATGCCCTGAGAAGCTCCCAAGAGGCCCCCAAGAGGCTCCCGAGAAGCTCCCAAAAGGCCCCCAAGAGGACCCCAAGCGGTCCCCAAGAGGCCCCAAGAGACACCCAAGAGGCACCCAAGACGTCCCAAGAGGCTCCGAAAAGCCGCCAAGAAGCCCGCTATGACATCCCGAGAGACCTCTAAGACGCCCCCAAGCCGCCCCGAGAGGCCCCGACGAGCCGGCGGGAGGCCCCCACGAAGCCCCAAGAGGCCTCCAAGAGACTCCGAGATATTCGGCGAGACTCCGAGAGGCATCCAAGGAGCCTCTGGCCCACGAAGGCCCCCCGCGCTCTCCGCATGCTGCCGCGCTCCCCCGATAGAAGGGCAGCTCCCCTGGGCCTCGTTCCTGGTGGGCGAGGCTGGCGGGGAAGCGCGAAGCGACAAAACTTGTGACCCATGTTCGGCCCTCGCCAAGACCCGGGACCGTCAACACAACGGATCGAGGTGAGAAGCTGGCCTGGGGGAATGGGCCGAGACCTCCGGGGGTCCACGCGGTACGAGATCACGACGCCCGGGGTGTCCCGGGGGTGGGGCTGCGGACGCGGGGAGAGGGGAGTGCGGGGTGCGGGGCGCGACATCAGCCGCCGCGAGGCCACTGCCGCTGCGAATGCGCGAGGAGGGCTGACAGTGAGGAGCGCGAGCCTGTCGGGACGGGGGGGGGCGCGGTGCTGGCGCCAGAAGCGGAGAGCGCTGCAGAGGGGCGCGGCGGTCAGAGCAGCGGGCGAGAGCGAGGGCGAGAGGACGACAGTCAGGTCGGGAGGTCGAGGAGGACGGGGGCGAGGACGTTCAGTCATCGTGCTACAATCGAAGCGCTATCATAAGGAACCCTAAATAAGGAACGAGGTCCTTTTCTTCCATCAGTTAAATTTCGATCCCCCATAGAAAGCCAAAGGGCAACTTGAGACAGACTGTAAAGCAATTAAAGAACACTGAGCCCCCCAATGCAAAGGGTTCCTTCTTCTGCGGCCCGACTGCACCAATGAGGGGGGCAATAAGTAAGGAGCACCCCTGATTTGATCGATCTCTTCCAAGATGGCCCCAAGACCGCCCCCTTGGCCCCCAAGGGTGCCCAAAGGGGGCCCCAAGAGGTGCCCAGGAGGCCACAAGAGGCCCTCACGAAGCCCCCGAGATGCCCCCAAGAGGCTCCCGAGAGACCCCCCAAGAGGCTCCAACAGGCCTCCCAGAGGCACCAAATACGCCTTAAGAGGCCCCCAGGACTGCCAAGGCCCCATTCGGATTCGGAGAAACGCCACAACAACATCCGAAGAGACCCCGAGAGGCATCCAACATGCCTCTGGCCTTTCTGCTCGCCCTCCTCCTCCTCCTCCTCCTCCTCCTCCTTCGCCTGAACGCCGCGTACATTCGCCTCAAAGGTTTGCATCACATTCACTGGTGTAGCGCAGCTCCTTCCAACATGTGGCGCTCGTCTGAACGCCTCGCGACCTCGTCCTAAACATTTGCAAGAGTTTATGGGTGGAGGGCGGTACCTTTTCAAACTGTGGTTCTCGCCGTAGCGCCGCGCACATTCGTCTTAAGAGATCGCAGCTGTTCCAAGGATTACGTACCACGGGTAACGTCCAAGAAACGGCTGTGGAACGATGTCGGACTGTCAGGGCGCAACAGTTACGTTTACACTGGTCCCCCTCCTCCTCTTTCTTCTCCTCCTCTTCCTCCTCCTCCTCATATTCCTCCTCCTTCCTCCTCCCTCCTCCACATCCCATCTCCCTAGTCTGTCTCCTCCTCCTCCTGTTCTGCTCCTCCTCCGAGTCCTACTCCATCCTCCTCATTTTGGGGTACGACATCCCACCCAGCCCGCTATTCCACAGCATTCTCTTCCACCCTGATCAGGGCAACTCGTCTGGGCATCGTTTGTAGAAGGGCTGGCGGGGTTACTTTTAGTCAGCGGCCGCAGGCGAGCGCGCCAGCGGCGAGTCCAGTCAGAGCGGGGCCCGCAGAGACGAATTAACCTAAAGCGGTGGGCCGGAGCCTCACGCAGCACCTCAGCGGCCGAACGGGCGAGTGGGAAAAGGCTGGCGGTAAACTGGGGAGCAGTACTGCCGGGGTGCACGCATGCAACGCTGGCGGGGATACTTTTTAGTCCGCGGCCGCGGGCGAGCGCGCCGGCGGCGAGTCCAGTCAAAGCGGGGCACGCAGAGACGAATTAAACTAAAGCGACGGAGGGTGGCCACACCTACAGCGGCTAACCGGGACCTCGCGCAGCAGCTCAGCGGCGGACCGGCGAGTGGGGGGGCAGCTGAAACTGAGTCGTACTGCCAACGTGCAAATATGCATAGCGTCGGAAGCACCAGGAAGTCGGGACGCACGACGACCCGGGCCAGAAGCCGAAATTAACGCATGGACGCAACCCCGGACAACTGCGTGAGTACCAGGGTGGCCCGAAGGACCGTCGATCAAGGTCGAATTGGTGCCGAGACGAGGCGAGAGCGTTGGCAGGCTGCGAGATCCCAGGGTGGCCGTAGCCGCACAGTCCCAAGGCAGCAGAACGCACGAGTGCGGGAAGCAGCAAAGCTGCCGCGCAGCCAAAATGGCGCGGGTCACCACGGACCAGTGCGTGAAGTGGCGCCAGGATGGCTCACCACGAGCCCTGAACAGGGCCGCGAGCCCGAAGTCAGCACACCGAAGGTGGCGACAGGCGGGCGAATGCACCACGGGGAAGACCCGGGGCTGAGACCAGGGAGTCGACCGTACGTGGTGGGGGCACAAAAGCCAGAGCGGTGTCAGGGACGGCCGACGGCCCCGTGGAGGGAAAGAGAAACCGCGACTTGAGCGGCAAAGCGAAGGCCAGTACGGTGTGGGACGACACCACCGACCGACGGGGAGATCGGAGGCCAAGCCGAGCGGGGGGGGACACCCCGACCCGGCGGGCCGCCCGGCAGCGCGGGATATCACGCCCCGGGGGAGAGCCGGAGGCCGATAGTGGACACGTGGACCACGGCCCCAGCAGTAGCCCACGAGTCAGTATTCCCAGCGTGCCACTGCTCAAGTTCCCAAGGACGGGGAGCAGTGGGGGTTGGGCACAGAGAGGCACCAGGGAAGGAGCACTGCCTGCAAGTCGATCGGCGGCCACAGCAAGGACTGCGGCGGACACGTCTAAGGTGAAACAAAAGGGGGACAGGTGGACCACAGCCCCGGCGGAGGCCCACGAGTCAGCGTGGTCAGCAGTCCGTTGTCCCTGTCCCGAGGGCCTGAACGACGGGGGCTTGGCAGGGAGTGGCCCCAGGGAAGGAGCATTGCCTGCGAGTCGGACGTCGGCCACAGCGAATGCTGTGTGAGTCGCGTTCAGGGTGATACAAGCGGGGGCCGCCGTCGGAGGTCCCCGCCCAAGCCCCTAAACGTACACGGGTCGGAGGTCCAACCAGGGATAGCGAGAGACCACGGCGAGCTGCGAAGCGTCTGGGATAGCTGGCGGGGTCACTTTTTTGGTCAGCGGCCACGGGACAGCGGTCAGGTGGCGAAGGCAACGTCCGGGCCACGGGCGAGGCTAATTTGCTAAAACAGAAACGCGGCCGGCCAGAGTTGGCGGACGTACTGCTAGCACGGGCACGTGCACTGGGCAAAATGACCAGAATTCGAGTGGCCAACGCATGACAGGCGCAGGACCCCTTACCACACTGGGCAGGTCACTGTGCCCGGTGAAAATGGGAAGGCCGCAAAAGTGAGTCGCCGATGTGGCGCCAGACTTCAAAAGGACGACCTGCGTAAGCCAGCCCGCTGAGCAGTCGAGAACAGTGTACAGCGCGCAAGGGCTGAAGGTGGGTCCGAAAGCTGTACATGTCGCTGAAGGCTGTACCACTCAGCGCCCAGGCCAGTCTCAGCGATCCGCATCACAGTGTCGGGGGGGGAGCCGTGCGACTGTGATCCATACAGCGCGCGCCTGCAGCTGGCGGGGTTACGCGAAGCTTCTAGAATAAATCCCCCTTGTCGCGACCCCAGGCGTGTAGGCAGGGCTGGCCGGGCGTTTGGCTTGAGACTTCCTTGCCATTCAGGATCCTGAATTGAAATTTGGAGCAGCTTCACGGATAGAGGACGGGCCGTTGTTAAAATCTGGCGTTCGCCTTAGCGCCGCGCACATTCACTCAAAAAGTGTGCAACAGTTTCAGAGCTGAGGGGCGGGCAGTTCTCACAATGTGGCTCTCGCCGGAGCGCCGCGCACATTCGTCATAAAAGTTTGCAAACGGTTCACGGATGGAGGGCGGCACCTTACCAAAACGTGGCTCTCGCATTAGCGCCGCGCACGTCCGCTTTAAAATGTTGCAGTTGTTTCAAAGGTTCGCCGCATGGCCGAAGTCCCATGAATGGTGTTCTGGCAAGATGTAGGGCTGCCAGGGCGCAACCGTCAGCTGATCTACGGCGTTGAAGTCCCAGGAATTGTGTTTTGGCACGACTGCAGCTCCTCAGACGGTTGTCTTCCAATGGGGCGTCTCGCATTTCCCGCAATTCAAGTGCAGTCTTGTAGGAGCCTGTGAAGACGGAACTCGGAGGCAGGGTGTATTGCAACATCGTTGATGGGTCTTGGGTTTTTCACTGGTCCTCCTCCTCCTCCCCCTCCTTCTGCTCCGCCTCCTCCTCCCTCCTCCTCCTCCTCCTCCTCCTCCTCCTCCTCCTCCTCCTCACTTTTCATCCTCATCGTCTTCCCCTTCGTCCTCATCCTCATTTTCCGCTCCCCCCTCCGTCTTATTCCCCTCGACATCCTCATCCCACCCCTGGTGAGGAAGACGACGACGGTGGAGACGATGGAGACGGGGCCGCGGGGCAGCCTCGAAGGTCCACACCGTGGTGACGACAACGACGACGACGACGACGACAACGACGACGGCGACGACGGCGACGACGGCGGCGGCGGCACTGGCGACGACGACGACTGCGATGATGGCACGGGGCCTCCGGAGTCGACGGTATGGCCGGCGGGCTCTCGGGCGCGGCGCCCGCCCTGTCCGGCAGCGGCCCCTTGCGGCGCAAGAGAGCGCGGAGGCGAGGACGACGACGAGGAGGAATCGAGGAGGATGAAGCTGGAGGAAGACTCGAAGAGGAGGAACGACGACGAGGGCTCGAGGAGGTCTCGGGGAGGGACGAGGAGGAGGAGGAGGAAACTCAAGGAGGGCTCGCGGAGGGCTCGAGGACGATGACGACGAGGGCTCAATGAGGGCGATCCTCCTCCTCCTCCTCCTCCTCCTCCTTTTCCTCCTCTCGCTCTCTGGTTCCGACGGCGACGCGACCGAGACCACAACAACGACGATGAAGCGACGACGACGACGACGACGACGACGACGACGACGACGACGACGAGGACGACGACGACGACGACGATGGCGGCGGCAGCGCGGGCCTGCTCGGGCCCAGCCGCGCCGGAGGCGGAGCCCGCGCCTGGGGGCCGCGATCGTGTGATGGCCGCCCGCGGATGCCGGAAAGGGGTCAGGAGCAACCCGCTTGTGAGGGAGCTTCCATGGGAGCCTCTAGGCAAGACGAAGCCAGGACGAGGATGATAAAACCGGGTGATGATAATTCCAGAATCTCTGAGATCTGGCGGCTCTGGAGGATGTCTCGAGCGCCGCGGCCTTCTCAGAGCATTCTGGAACGCTCTGAGAGCGCTCCAGAACGCTCTGGAACGGATTATTCCTCGTCCGAACTTCGTCCGATAGGGACCTCCGCGGCCCTATCATAAATGCGATTTCGACCAGATGTCGTGCAAAATCCGACCGCCCCTATTCACCGTTTCGTCCAGAATTCGTCCACACTTCGTACATCGACCCCATCCTCTTTCTGCGCCATCCTCCGAGCCGGGTCGATCCGTGATGGCCCTGGCGCCAAATCAGGGCGAAAACGCCGCATCTCTGCCTGTTCCTCCTCCTCCTCCTCCTCCTCCTCCTCCTCCTCCTCCTCCTCATTTGGGGCGCCCCCAAGCCCGCCAGGCAGGCTTCTCCCCGAGAGGAGGGGGGGGGAGGGGGGAGGAGGAGGAGGAGAAAGAGGAGGAGGAGGAGGAGGAGGAGAAGGAGGAGCAGGAGTCGTAGCAGGAGGAAGAGGAGGAGAAGCATGAGGAGGAGAAGGAGGAGAAGGAGGAGCAGGAGGAGGAGAGGTAGGAGGAGGCGGAGGAGGAGGAGGAGGAGGAGCAGGAGGAAGAGGAGGAGCAGCAGGAGAAGGCGCTTGCCGGCCCGCGGCGCCTGTGGCCATGGCGGGTCAGCGTGGCGGACGGCGCCCCCGACCGCGCTTACCGCAGCCCGCCGCCGGGGCGCGGCGCCCGGCCCCCTTCGGGCCGACGCTGCGCTGCGGCGCGGAGCCGCGGGAGGGGCCCCTGGGCCACCGAGGCGTGCGGGCTCTCTGGCTGACCCCCTCCCTGCAGCCCTGGGGCCACGGCCTGAGGGCCGACCGGAAGATGAGGGACGAGGAGGAGGAGGGGAGGGGGGGAGGAGGGGGAGGAGGAGGAGGAGGAGGAGGAGGAGGGAGGAGAGGAGGAGGAGGAGGAGGAGGAGGAGGAGGAGGAGGAGGAGGAGGAGGAGAGCACAGGGCCGAGAGAAGAGAGAGCGGACAAGACGCGAGTAAGGGACAAGAGGGCAAGCGGACAAGAGCAGAAGGGGGGAGGAAAGAACGTCCCAGCACCACGCGCCTCATCGGAGAAGCGCCTGAAGCCCAGGCCAGCGTCGCATCAGCTTCTTGATGCGAGCTGAAGCCATGAGAAGTAACGGGATGGTCCTCTGGACAAGTGCGGATTCCTTGCTATCATGGTAGGCGGAACAGATGATATCAATGCACACAGCAGCAGACACCAGCTCCGATTTCGAGGCAGGCAGAAGAGGGTGGAACGCGGCACGCTGTGCGCCACTGGCAATGAGAAAGCGCTCGGACAGATGGGGCAGTAAGGGATAGATGCACTGTAAGGAACTACACTCTAGATAATGACGGAGCGAATCAGGGCAAGTTCTGACTTGACAGAAATGACACGCACGAGTAGGCCCTGGGAACCTGGCTGATGTGGACCAGGCGTTGCAAATGGTACGATAAACACTGGCAAAAATACAGGCAGGAGCGGCTTGGGCAAGTCTGCGAACCGCCATGGAAAGCAACATGCATTCATGCATAGTCCCCGGCCGACCGAGGTGGTGTTCAGCTCTGCTGGCTAGACAAGTGGCGGCCAGATCGGACCGCCGCCGACGGAGGATACGCTCAGTCTTCATTTGCATACGAAACTGCGCGACAGGGGGCACATGAGGTATGGCAGTGAGAGCGAGATGGTTATCAAGCAAGTGTGAGAACATACTAGACTTATACCAAGAATGAAGGCGCCATACATAGATACAATCGTCAGAATCGCTGAAACCATCCAGGAGGTCCCGAATTTCGAAAAAAGGCAGGCGTGGTACAGGCCAGCCTATACAAGGCCGCGCGGGAAACACACTGGAAGTCCCGAGCCTCGCATGGAAACCACAAGCTTTTTAAATCGGTGAGCATGCCAGTCGAAAAAGCGTTGCGCGGGGCAGGAGTGATATTTTGCACAGCAGTGTCAACCGCACGCAGGGCCTCAGGAGACGGGCGATAGTACTGCATGACGTCGACAAGACAGAGAAACCCACCGAGTTGAACTGCACGATGCTCTTAGCGAGCCCCAGGGACAAGTGCTTGATGGCCCGTGCACGACTGATACACTTGGTGGTGGGCGCAATCCAGCTGTCAAGGTGGCCTGACTGGCCAAGAATGATACCAAGGTACTTCCCTGACTGCACAACACGAAACGACCACGGCATGAATCCAGCATCAAGCAGCTTCTGATGGATGTACTCGTCATTGGCGCTCATTACTCGTATGACCACTGTCTTCGAGAGGTTGAGCTTCAAACCTGATGCCCGCGTGCCGAAGTTCAGAATGGGCAGCGCGGCAGCGAGGGTAGAGAAGACATCAGCGCATCTCACTCCAAGGTCGTCGGCGAAGGCGCCGAAGATATTGACTCTCGCAGGTAGACGATCAGCAAGCATGCGAAGAATAGGGTCAATCGCCAATGCAAACAGACTGCCCGATAAAGGGCATCCTTGTTTAATGCCGCGCTTCACGGCAAATTGTCCGCCACGGGCGCCGCCAAAAGATACTGATACCCGAACATTGTGGTAAAGCAGCTTGATACTCGCCCTAATATGCGCGGGCACTGCTAGCATTTCCAGTATCCAGAAGATATACTCGTGCGCCAATGAGGGAAAAGCACTCTCATAATCAAACAAGATAAATCCCGCATCCAAGAAGCCATGCTGGACCAGCCAGTGTAATACATAACCTTCCAGCTGCGCAAGGTTCTGACTCATGGAGCGATTCTTGACGAAGCCGCGCTGGAAGTACACGCATGATAGTTGACAAGGATAGCCCATAGGCGCATTGATGGCGGCCGAGATCAGTTTGTTATCACTGTTGCTCAAAGTTATTGGCCGAGTCTTGTCAGGAGAACGGAAAAGCCCAGCATGATCAGATTGCTCGGAACCTTTGGCCAAAAAGACTGCGCCGCCTTCGTTAAAGTGAGGGTTCGGAAGCCTGCCTGCTTGAAGCTCGCGGTAAACGTTATACAGAAGGTTGTGCGCGAAATCCCCCGCACGGGTCATAGCAGAAAATGGCAACCCATCAGGACCTGGCGCAGCATCTCGTTTCTTGTATATGAGTGATGCGAACTCTTCGCGTTCGAGTGTCCACTGAATGTGATCAGGAAGTGGACGCACGTATCGACGAAGCCCGAGCCAAGCGTCAGGATCAGGAGAAACATGCGCATGCACACGGCCCCAGAACCACCCAAGATGTGCACAGACCTCATCAGGGTCCGTGATGTGTTCTCCCGAGGGATCAGAAACACCTGCGAGAGAAATGCGCCTCCTGACCGAGCCCCAAGACGACATGTAGCTACCTATCTTGATCCTCTCGAGTTGCTTCTGGGGCTCAGGGATCTCCTCCTCCTCCACCTCCTGCAGCCGATCCTCGAGAAGCCGAATGTTGAGGGAGGCGAGGTGGGCGTGGAACCCAGCCAGGTCCAGCCAGAGAAGCGAGTCGCACTCAATGAACTCCTTGAGCTTAGGGTAAGCGCGCAGCGCTCGTACCAGCAGGTCAGCTTGGGTCCTATCGTGGGGCAACTGATTGACGATGCGCATGGCCACCAGGGCCCACGAGATGAACTCAGGGGTGCTTGTGGCTCCAGCTCGCTCGGGTTCACGTTTGACTTTCTGGGCTCCAGCGCGTAGAATATCTTTGCCTTCCTCGAGAGCCTCAAAGGGGTCCAAGGAGCAGATGCCAATCTCATCGTACACCTCCTGGCACATGATGGGGTATAGGGGATGTTTGGAAATCCACCGCGGGATACTCTGGACTCTCCGAAGCACCTTGGGAGACAAGGACAAGACAACGGGCAGATGGTCGGACAGGGGCTGCTTCTCACAGGCTTTGCCTATCACGAACGAGTGAAGACCATAATCGAGTAACTGAGCGGTGTACATACTAGTGTAAATACGATCCAGCCGGGAGACAGACACTACATGAGCAACACCGTGAACGGGGTCGGACCGATTGGGGATGTGAACATCCTGACGCGATAATACCTGGTGGGTAGGATGTGGCTGCTCGATCTCACACATGCTCGGAAACAGCCTGGAAAAGAACTGGGCCATCGCGCGCGAGGTGTATACCCGACGACCAGAAAGATGAGCGCTCGCCTCCCCTTTCCGCAACGAAATTGAAGCCGCCAGTGATGAAGCTCAGGGCGTGGGACTGCGGGGCGAGCTTACTTTTGACTAGCCTCAGGAAATATTTTTGCTCTGCTCTATGTTGCTCAGGCTGCATATGAATATTGAAGACATGCATCGTACCATAAATGCCCGTACATTTTATCATATGAGCTCGCCCAGGGACCAGCACATGATGAGAGATATGGTTAAATTGAGCGCGAAGACGAGGAGGAGGAGGAGGAGGATGAGGAGGAGGAGGAGGGGGAGGAGGAGGAGGAGGAGGAGGAGGAGGAGGAGGGAAAGGGGAGGAGGAAGAGGAGGAGGAGGAGGAGGAGGTGGAGCGTGGCCGAGGCGAGGAGGAGAAAAAGGAGGAGGGGATGGATGAGGTGGTGGATGTGGAGGAGGAGGATGGAGGTGGAGGAGGATGGAGGATGGAGGATGGAGGTGGAGGAGGAGGCGGAGGTGGAGCTGGAGGTGGACGGTAGAGGATGGAGGAGTATGAGGCGGCGGAGATGGAGGGTGGAGGATGGAGGAGGTGGAGGAGGTGGAGGAGGTCAAGGTGGAGGGTGGAGGACGGAGGGAGGAGGCGGAGGTGGAGGATAGAGGAGGTATGGCGCGACTGTGAACGCGTGGTTCCCAGATGCTAGCCTGGCCGCCTCACCACAACCCCCCTGGGGAAGACAATCCCGACTTCGGCGGGAGTCCTCGGGCGAGCCGATAAAGGGCTTCCAACCCCTTCCTGATGGGAGTGGAGGGTGTAGGAGGTGAAGGTGTAGGTGGAGGTGGAGGCGGAGGTGAAGGATGAAGGATTGAGGGAGAATGGAGGCAGGATGGAAGGAGAATGGAGGCAGGATTGAGGGAGAAGGCGGTGGATGAGCATGCTGAGCAGCAGAAGCAACTCACGCTAGGCGCGCCAAGCGGACGGCGCGTTGGCCGCGCGCGTCGCTGCTGGGCCTCGTCCATGCCTTCCTCCCCCCTCCTCGTCCCCTTTCTTCCCCTCTCCAACTCGTAAGTCACCCCATCCTTGCGTCTCCTGCTCCTCCTCCTCATCATCATCATCATCAACAGCAGCCTACAAACAATCATCATCATCATCATCATCATCATCATCATCATCATCATCATCATCATCATCATCATCAGCATCACAATCATCATCACCACCACCATCATCATCATCAGCATCGTCATCACCAGCCTCATCATCCTCATCATCATGAGCATCATCATCATCATCATCATCATCATCATCATCATCATCATCATCATCATTATCAATAGCATCGGCATAATCATCAGCATCAGCACCATCATCATCCTCATCAGCATCAGCATCCGTATCATCATCATCATCATCATCATCATCATCATCATCATCATCATCATCATCGTCAGCATCGTCATCAGCAACATCATCGTCAGCATCATCACCATCATCATTATCATCATCGTCATCATCATCATCATTCGAATTATCAAAATCAACATCCTTATCATTACCACAAACAGTATCATAATCCTGATCCGCATGCTCATCAGCAACATAGTCGGCAGCATCATCATCAGCAGCATCACCATCACCATCACTGTCATTACCATCATCAACAGCAGCGTCAGCATCACAATCATCGTCGCCAGTATCACTATCATCCTCATCATCATCAACATCATCATCAGCATCATCAGCATCGTTATCACGACCCCATAGCATCATCATCCGTATCATCATCAACAGCATCCTCCTCCCCCTCCTCATCAACAGCAGCATCACCAGCACCATCAGCATCATCACCATCCACTATCATTAGCAGCAACACCACCATCATCGTCGTCAGCGTCATCGTCGTCACCATCCGAATAATCATCAGCAGAATCATCGTTCTCATCATCATCAGCAGCAGCATCCTCAGCATCATCAATATCATCGCCACCACCACCACCATCATCCGCATCATCCCCGTCTTCCTCCTTCACCTCTTTCTCGTCCTTCTCATCCTCTCATCCGGTTCCTCATCCCCCCCCCCCGCCCTCTCCGTCTCCTCCTCCTCCTCCTCTCCCTCATCCTCCTCTTGCGCTCTGCCTGCCCGAACTAGGCAGAAAGTCAGCGCCTGAGGGGGACAGGGATGGCCGCATCCAACTTGGAGTCCGAAGGGCCTCCCCTGCTTCAAAATTCCCGGGGGCTTTTGTTTTCCATGGGGTGTCGGGCTGTTCCGTCGAACACCTCTTGGCTAATTCCTTGACCTCTGTACGGGCATACGCTCCACAGCGCACGCACCAGGTCACTCCTCCATTCTGCCAGAGACGACGGGTGGGGTTGGCCATGGAGACAACTCTCGGGACCCCAGGGCACGGCAGCTGCACCAACCGAGAGCTGATCGCCCTCGCCGCGCCACAGACACTGCACCCCCACCCACCGCCAGGAACCTGCGAAACAACGTGACCCTTTAACATCTGGGGCTATATCAAGAATCGGGGCTGCCGAATTCCTAGGCTCTCTTTTGGCACGCTCAAAATATGATGGCACATCAGGATATCCAGATGATGGACATGCTTGGGAATAGCCATCAAAAGTCTGGATATAAGCGTCACCTGTTCATGATGATGCCGAAGGCGGCCACGGAGATGATGGTTGGCTGGGTGCGCCTTGGCTCCCTTCTTGGCCCAGAGGTCCGCTTCTTGGTTGCCTCTAAACCAGTGAGGCTCGTGGCCTCGTTGCTCCGCTGCCGCATTCGTCATATGCGAGGGCATCCAACTCACCGAAACAGAATTGGCGCCGACGTCGTCGATCCTTCGCCAGACCGACCGCAAGAGCTCTGCGTAACAATTGTTGGGTTTTTCCGTCCCCTCCCTCCCTCCCCATTCTTCATCCGTCATACGCCATTCTGCAATCCGTGATGGTACGACTGTAGGGCCCCATCAGACAAAGAGCCATATAGAATGCGTACAGCTCGCTGGACGGGACGTTCTGCACTGGGAGGGGAGATGGCCCGTAGGCCACTGCATCCATCTCCATGTTCGGGCTGATAGACACGAGCGCCCATCCTGCACGGAGAAGCCACCGCATGTCACTGTCGTAGGCAGAGCCGCCTATGCAGACGGTACTCCCTAGCACACCACAGGCAGGCTGGACCGCCCACCGAAACTCAGTTCCTTGAAGGATCTTCGGGAACTGGGTCCTCTTTAAGTCTACAAGGGCCCTCGCCCACTTGATATCGGGTTCCGTCAGGGCCAAGGCAGCCGCCCCCATTCCGCTGCGGTCGTGATCCCTCCTAAGCACCTTGGAGCCATCGCAACCCCAGGGCCTATGATACACCGTACCCTTTGCTTGAAGGCGCCACTGGCACCGATCGTCCACAGCATGCCTTTTTCCTGAAAGCGTCAGCTTGCGCCCAGAGACCTCCAGAGACCTGCGCGATCAACAGGCTTGCCCTGCGATGATCTCCCAGGCCTCTTAACCTAGCAAGTTCAACGCGCATGGGCTCCTGGTAGGGCTCCCAGAACACATCGAAACAAACTCCAGCGCGAGTGCGCAGCAACCTGCTGGTCGCGTCATCAGCTAGGGTCTGCGCGGCCCTAGGCCCAACTTCTTGACGTGAATGGTCACCCCGTCCGAGTTGACTCAAACGTACCAGGAAAGGATTTCCCGCTCCAGTCTCTCTGGGGCGAGGACAACGGCACCTGCGGGGCCGAGGTCCGCCCCCCACCCTTGAGACCTAGCCTCGACCGCGAAGCCGAAGGCGCGCTTCGCCTGGGCGCCGGGCGCCCATGATTCAAAAACCGCGCTGGCCCACATCTGCAAAGGTAAAACATTGGCCGCGAAAGACGGGTCGGTCTTCTCGACCTCGGCCAGCAAGAACTGCATACTGCGGCAGCGGCCCTTGGCGGGCCCGAACAGCGCTGCCCCTGTGGAGGCGCGTTGCCGCTCCAACTGCGCGGTGCCATGCCCCACTACGGCGACCCCGTGCATCGCGGCAGGCGCGGGCCCTCCACGGCGCGCATTCTGCAGAAGCTTCCTGGAGAACCTGACAGCTCGAAACCTGCGAATCCGTCCTCTGACAATCGCCAATCGCTGTTTGGTAACATGTCAACCTTTCCCGCTCCTTGACTTTAAATCGACCCCAAGATTCTTTGTCGCCTGGCCACCAGGATCGATTTGTTGCGAGACACCTTCAGACCAAGCTTCTCGAGCTCCCTGCATACAAACAAGGTGCAACTGACCAGCTGCCCCTGAACGAACTTCTGATTCCCCGCGGCCTGGAGCCCCGACTGATCCACCATCAGAGATACGCCGATCCTCGGCCACTGCTTGGCCGCCGCGTCAACAACATCTAAAATAATTACCTTCAGCAACGCTGTCGCATATGAGCAGCCTGCCACGATCGTGGTCCAGCTCGAATGGCATAGAAACTGCCTCGCCCACTTGAATCACTCGCAAGCCAGAGTCGACCAAACACAGAAACCTCAACCTCCTCCTGCTGAACCCGTGTTCCCTGCATGCTTTGAACAACTGCTCATGCGTGATGCGCCCGTGTGCCTTCTCCAGACCAATCAGCGTGCATCCACTGAAAAAATTGCTGGCTCGAGCGGCCTCGTTCATCAAGCCCTGCTTCCAAATTGCCATCTCGCAGCTCTTGCCTTTACCTCCGTA